ACATAAGTATTAAATGACTTAAACTGCTAAATGATAAAGGTGTATTTGGAAAAGATTGTGTATCTGATGTGCCTTTCTGTGATCACCGCGTGCTCGGTAAACATCGTAAGTTATCTTTCTCACATGTACACAAAAGTACTAAAGTTTTGAATTATATTCATACTGATTTATGGGGGCATGCCACTAATCCTACAATTGGTGGTAATAGATATTTTTTGTCTATAATTGATGATTATTCTCGTAAGGTGTGTGTTTATCTGTTAAAAGATAAAATTGAAACCTTCAAAAATTTCAAAACGTGGAAATTGCAAGTTGAAACTCAAATTGGCAAAAAGATAAAATATATAAGAACTGATAATGGCCTTGAATTCTGTAATAATTATTTTGATGATATGTTATTTCACCTACAATTGAACAAATCAAAGTAATTAGTTTATGAAATTAAAATAAGAAGAAAATCAAATTAAGCAATTAAAATTGAAGAACAATAAGAACAGTAAAATTCCCCTTTCTTAGACTCAGAAAACTTAATCCAACACCACAAAGATAACACCAAGTTTTGGAGAATGACACGAGCACACAAAGGCTCGAAGAGGAGAAGCTGGACTGAAGAAATTTTGCACAAAGCAAGGGACTGGTTACTGCTTCTTCCTTAAGGCAAAAAGCAATAATTTTTGGTATGTTGAATTGAGGACGAGAGGTTTCTATTTATAGGCAAGGAGTTGAACCAATTTCTCAGATTTTTCTCTCCAATGATAGACATCAAAATTGAAAATTGGTTAGATAAAGGATATAGTTCTACAAATGTGAATGGAAGTGAGAAACGACCCTTGTCAAATTATCTCAAAGATTTGGGTGTTGAACATCTAACTCAATTGACTGATTTCCTCTAAATACCCAATAAAACTTGGGCTACATCGTTTGTGGTGTGGAGTTTAATTATTCTTCAATCTCGAGCTTATAACCTATGAAGTTAAACGCCACTGTTTTCACTATTTTTCATTATGGTCCATGGACTATTTGGCATCACAAAAATACCCACTTGTACAAAAATACTTGCTATAAAATTTACTTATTAGTAGAATACATGAAAAACAATTGTTTCCCAGAATATTTTCGTTTGGTCTCCTTCCCCAATCAACAAAATAAAATCTAGGCAGGCTGCCATGAATCTGCAAGCTGTCAGCTCTGCAGAAAACACAATATTATGCCCAAAGATTCAATCTTGCCTTCCTAAACAAGACCTCAAAGGCCGTTCCGTTGCTGTGAGCACCCTTCTTTTCACTTTTCACCTTCTTCCTTTGGATTTTATTTTTTTCAATTTCTTTTTGTTTTTCAAAATTGGATTATTTGGGTATATTTGGAAAATTCTGATACTTATAACCTGACTCCGTTAATTCAGTCTGTTGTGTATGGATGTCGTGTTGAAAGTTTCTATTATGGTAA